ATATATAAATTTCTCTCTCTATAATATATATATATATATGTATATATATAGCGGCAGTCTACCAACTGAGCTATTTCCCCAGCCCTGCAACAAATTCTTTGATGCTAGTATTACTCTAACACCAAAACTAGGTAGATATTACAAGAGAACAAAAAAACCCCAAAAAACCTATAGATCAATATCCCTCATAACCCTAGACTCAAAAATAATTTTTAAATTGGCAAATAAAATCAAATAAGTAGATTAAGTACAGTTCATCCTAGTAATGCAAAGTGAATTTAAAATTTAAAAAACCAGAGAATGAGGGCTGGGGCTGTAACTCAGTGGTAGAGTGCCTGCCTCGAATGTACGAGGCACTGGGTTCAATCCTCAGCACCACATAAAAATAAGTAAATAATGGTACTGTGTTGGGCTGGGGATGTGGCTCAAGCGGTAGTGCGCTCGCCTAGCATGCGTGCGGCCCGGGTTCAATCCTCAGCACCACATACAAACGAAGATGTTGTGTCCGCCGAGAACTAAGAAAAAATAAATAAATAATTCTCTCTCTCTTTCTGTCCCCCTCTCTCTCACTCTCTCTTTAAAAAAAAAAAAAAGATACTGTGTCTATCTACAACTAAAAAATAAATAAAAATCAGAGAATGAAATTCACTATACCAACAAAGGAGAAAAACAATTTTATCAACTTAAAAGATTTAGAAAAGAAGCAAAGTTGAACACATTCATGATTAAAACTCTCAGCAAACTATGAACAGATGGGAACTTCTTCAGTCTGTTATAGAACATCTATGTGCGGTGCATTTCTATAATCCCAATGACTTGGGAGGCTGGGGCAGAAGGATCACAAATTTGAGGCCAGCCATGGTAACTTAGAGTGGCCCTGTCTCAAAAAAAGGTAGGTGGGCTGGGGCAGTGGTAGAGTACTTGCCTAGTGTGAGTGAGGCCTGGTTTAAATCCTTGGTAAGTGGGGGAAAAAAAAAAAATCAATGAACATCTAATATGGTAATGGTGAATGGTGAAGAGTGAACATTTTCCTTCTAAGATCAGAAACAGGGCAGGGGCTGTGGCTCAGTGGTTGAGTACTTGCCTTGCATGCGTGAGGCAGTGGGTTTGAGCCTCCACACCACATACAATAAATAAATAAAATAAAGATACTGTATCCATCTACAACTTAAAAAAAATCAGAAACAAAGCAAGGATGTTTGCTCTCATCAATTCTACTCAACATTGTACTGGAGGTACTGGACATTATAGTGAAACAATAAGAAGAAATAAAAGGCAAGAAGATTGGAAAGGAAGAAATAGACTAGACACGATAGAAAATTCTAAGAAATCTCCTAGCTACTAGAAACTACTAGAACTACTAAGTGATTAGAACTACAAAGTGAATTTAGCAAGTCACAAACAAAAATTTTAAGGGCAAAAATGAATTACATTTCTTTATACTAACAAAATTTGGAAATTGAAATTAGAAAACAATGTAATTTATTACAGTATCAAAAATGAAATAAAATATATAGAACACTTAACAAAATATGATCAAGAACTGTTTGTTGAAAACTACAAAGTATTTCTAAGAGGTCAAAAAACATGTAAACAGTGAAATACACAATGTCTATGGGTCAAAAAACTGAATATCATTAAGCTGTCAATGTTTTGCAAATTTCTACAATGATTAAGTGCAATCTCAGTCAAAATTACAACAGACTTTTTGTAAATTGACAAGCTGACTCTGAAATTTCACTATACAAAAAGGTTTTGTTTTTGTTATTTAAAAATTCAAATGTTTATCATTTCTCTTATGTTTCAGTTTCCATTTGTAGTTAAGTCTTTCCCATCTCTACATTGTACATATAATCTCTTATTTTCTTGCAAAATTTAGAAAACAAAAATATTCCAAAGCTGGGAATAGAACCACCATTTGACCCGGCTATCCCACTCCTTGGTCTATACCCAAAGGACTTAAAAACAGCATACTACAGGGACACAGCCACATCAGCATTTATAGCAGCAAAATTCACAATAGCTAAACTGTGGAACCTACCTACATGTCCTTCAGTAGATGAATGGATAAAGAAAATGTGGTATATATACACAGTGGGATATTACTCAGCAATAAAAGAGAATAAAATCATGGCATTTGCAGGTAAATGGATGGAGTTGGAGAATATTATGCTAAGTGAAGTTAGTCAATCCCCAAAAAACAAATGCCGAATGTTTTCTCTGATATAAGGAGACTGATTTATAGTGGGGTTTGAAGGAGGAGCATGAGAGGATTAGACAAACTCTAGATAGGGCAAAGGGATAGGAGGGGAAGGGAGGGGACATGGGGGTAAAAAAAATGGTGGAATGAGATGGATATCATTACCCTAAATACATATATGAAGACTCGAATGGTGTGAATATACTTTGTACACAATCAGAGATATGAAAAATTGTGCTATTTGTAATATGAATTGTAGTCCATTCCATTGTCATATAACAAATTAGAATAAAAAATAAAAATTTTTCAAAATTTATTCTATTGTGAATATTGTAAACAATTGGTTAAGATTTATTTTCTTTCGGATTGGTAACCATTTTTGTCACACCATTTTAAAAGTAACTCTTCTTCTTCCTCTCCTCCATTAAACTATCATCCTTTTTCATATTTTGAATTCCTATATATAGATAAAAGGGTTTTCTCTATACTAGATCATTGCCCTTTTTATCTTTCTCTATTATAGTATCATATAAATTGATGGACTATTTGTATTCCAATTCTAATAGCACAAATTCCACATCTTCACTCTTATTTTTCAACATTTTCTTGGCTATTCTTTAGCATTTAACCTTCCATACAAATGTTAGGGTTCTTATAACCAATTCTGAAAAAAACATAATTGGAATGATAATATATTATTTTTGGAAGAATTGCCATTTTTTAATATTTATTTTTTAGTTGCTGTTGGACACATACCTTTACTTTATTTATTTTTATGTGGTGCTGAGGATCGAACCCAGGTCCTCAAACATGCTAGGCGAGTGCTCTACTGCTGAGCCACAACCCCAGCCCCAGAACTGCCATTTTTTAATGCTGTTTCTTCCCACTTCTCAGGTCTAATTCCCGAGCCTCCCACCCTGCCCCAGTACTGGGGATTGAACCCAGGGCACTGTACCACTGAGCTACTTCCCAGCCCTTTTCATTTTTTAAAATATATTTTTTTAGTTGTATATGGACACAATATCTTTATTTATTTATTTTTATGGGGTGCCAAGGATCAAACCTAGTCCCTCACAAGTTAGAGGCAAGCACTCTACCACTGAACTATAGCCCCAGGCCCACCTTTTCATTTTTTTTATTTTGAGATAGGGTCTCACTAAATTGCAGAGGCTGGTCTCGAACTTGCAAGCCTCCTGCCTCAGCCTCCCTAATAGCCAGGATTACAGGATGCATTACTGCACCTAGATGCCTACTGTTTTCTGTTAGGACCTCTCTCACAAGCCTCTATGAAGGGCTCCATTCTGCATTTATATGCCAGCAGACTTCTTTCATTTTATCACCTCTTCATCCCCTTCAGTTGGCAATGAACTGGTAGTGTTTTTGCTTTTTTTTTTTTTTTTTTTTGGTGGTGCTCGAGATTGAACCCAGGGCCTTATGTATGCAAGGCAATAACTCTACCAACTGAGCTATGTCCCCAGCCCCAGTGTTTCCTGCTTATATTCTCCTACTAACTCATTATTGAGTGATAATCTAGCCACAGCATTGATGTTCTCTTTAAAACAAGGTTTCTCATTTCTTTTCAATACAGACATGCTAAAGTTTTTTTTCAACTCTTTTTTTCCCCACTCTTTTTGCTTAAAAATTCCTTCCCCAATTCTTTCTTTTCCTATGTTTTACTATACGAGGAAATCAAGCCATTCCTTCAAGAATTTGCTTAGAAATTCTCCAGCTAAATACTTCAATTTTCTCATTGGCAACTTGTATCTTCTACAAAACACTTGAACACAGCTCAGACAAGTCCTCTTTGCATTGCTGAAGATTGAATACAGGGCCTTGTGCATGCTAGGCAAGCATTGTACCACTGAGCTACACCCCCAGCCCCTTGGCCAAGTTCTTTGCCACTTTATGACAAGGATCGCCTTTCTTTCAGTTCCTAATAATATATTGTTATGGTTTGGGTCCAAGTAAGTCTCCTGCAAAGTTATATGTTAGGCAATGCAGTAATATTCAGAAGAAAAAAGATTGGATTATGAGAGTTGGAACATTGTCTATCAGTGGATTAATCCATTTAATGGATTAATAATTTGAATGGACTCCTAGGTAGTAATTGCAGGCAGTTGGAGCATAGCTGGAGGAAGATGATCACTGGAATTGTGGCCTTAGACTATATTTAAGACAGATATAGATTTAAACCAAGATAAAGGCCTTAGACTATATCTTAGATAAAGTCGTAGACTATATCTGTTCCTGTCATCTCATACTCTCGCACTCTGGCGCTCTCGAGCGTGAAGTGCGAGTATTATGTATTCTCTAAAAGGATGAACACTTTTGCCAGGTATGGTGGCACATTCCTGTAATCCCAGTGACTTGGGAGGTTGAGGTAGGATGATCACAAATTCAAAGCCAGACTCAGCAACTGAGCGAGGTCCTAAGCATTATAGAGAGATCCTGTCTCAAAAATACAAAATAAAAAAGGGCTGGGGATGTAGCTCAGTGGGTAAACACCCCTGGGTTCAATTTCTGGTACCAAAAAAAAAAAAAAGGCACTTTCTCTCCAGCCCTGCCCCTCTTTTTCTTCTAGATCTGTCACCAGAATTTCCTTTACTGTCTTTAATCTACTCTGAAGCATGTTCACAAATACCCAGTCCCAAGGGAGGCTTCCCACTGCAGAGAGGATAGCAAAGACCATCACTATTCCAACCACCAGGATAGGAATCTAAATACATCCAGTCATTGCACCCTGGCTGCAGTGTTACCAGCTACTAGTCTGGTGAGACAGAACACTCTAATATGCAACAAGTTATAGTAAGTAGGTTTATAACTTAAAGATGGCATAGAGGGATAAAAGCAGCTTAGGATCCACTGTGTTCACTATGCTGACATAGTTGACCACTAGCAGGACAAGGAGGTTACTCTGGTCGGTGACAGAATGAGGTCTTGAATGACAAATTCAACACAATGTCAAATTTTCCAAGGTGGCCACAGCTTGAGAAAGTCTAACAAAGGTGTTATGCTTCCAGGCCTCTGCTACTATCATTCTGAAAAAAAGAACACATTACAGATTAGTGCCCCCATAGCACTTATGGATCTCTGATGTTCTCTGTTTATCAGATAAGGATTGGAATGAGTTGATGTAGCTACCCAATCTGTTTCTGTCTTGAGGCTGCTACCTCTTCAGGCAGGTTATCCTTGCTGCTTGATCCAGACCTCTGGCTTCAGTCATCCAATCCAGAAAGACAGGTCACAATCTATAGAAACTTCACATGTATAACAGCACCCATCCTTATAGAATCCTACAGAAGGGTGATACCTGGGAAGCAGGTATCTGTCACCAGATTAGAATTACTATGTCAGAGCACCATGAACCAGCCCAACTCTCACTCTAAAGAGAAAATGTTAAGAACATTGGAATTGGGATTTCACAGGTGCCGCCTAATTAGGGGCTGCCTGGTCCACCTCCATCCTCTCTCCCTGCAATCTCAGTGTTTCCCAACATGCACTGTGGTGCTGTTCCCTTGCGTTGGAGTACAGTGTTTAGTGTCCATACCAGTGATACCACCTTTCTACCAAGACATCAAGACATCATTTCTTCAGTTGTTTTGTGAGTCAGTTTTTCCATTGTGCAATAACTCCATCAGTCTGAGGATGATAGGGTGCCTGCAAAATCCATCATAATCCCCAACAGTGTGCTCATTGCTGCATTAGTGGGACAGTGAAGGATGTCTTTTGGTCAGACTAAAGTCCTACAGAGTATCTGAAATATGACCTATGCTCTTCTCAAGGGCAGTCCTAGCATCCACATGAGTGACATATATTTGTCCTTTCTAGGTAACAAGCTATTACCATAGCCCCTGTCATCATATAGGGGGTCCTTTAACAGTCCAGTTTACTCAGTTGCCATTCTTCTGACCAGATGGCTTAGACTGGTGTTAATTGTCCACATGTTAGTGAAAATGTATCAAGATATGGTGGAAGAGATGTAGTGTATAGCCATTTTCACTGCACCTAGCTTGGCCCATTGGACAGAATATTCATGTTTAGTCTCAGTCAAAAGATGGCCAGACATTGGCCAGTTGGCATCTGCAGCCCAGAGGTTCCCCATCTGTTTGTTGTTTTTACAGTCATAAGTAAAATCATATCACACTGTCAGTAGGCATTTCTGAGTCTTTGGTTCCAACTGGCCACAGGAGGAGCCAAATCATCCCTGGAGGATTGCTTGGTTCCTTCTGGTAAGCAAACCAGTTGTTCATGGAGCCTATAGGTCCCTGGTCTCTTTCACTCTTTTTTTTTTCCTGTGCTTTGATTAATAATTATAGTTATACATAATAGTTGGGTTCATTCTGACAAAATCGTACATGATAATTTAATTTATTTCATTTCTGAGCTCAGTCTTGAATGTATCATTTCCACTTGATAACTGAGCTCTGTTGAGTCTGTACCATTTTATTGGTGGGGTTTGTGAACATCCAAATGAGAAGGGGCAGTTCAGGTTACAGTGTTACATTTGGCAGCCTGGTCATAAGGTGCTTGGTTTCAATAATAAACAAGGAGTTGCCATTCAAAAGAGGTATATTTGATGGCTACCTCAAGCATCTTAGGTTTCTAAGATCTATGTGTTCAGTAACACTACTGACAGTATTCTGTTGCCACAGATCCCCATCAACATACACAAACTCGGGGGCATGGGTAATTTCATCAGGCTGGCAGGCTCTCAAGGTTTTAAAGGCAATGGTGCCTGGATGTGGCTTGTTGAAAATTTCCAGTGCCTGCTATTGCAGAAGGTCCCATTCAAAATTGGAGCTCTGCCGGTCACATTGACTAAGCGGGCCAAAGAAATGCCTGGGAAGGGTACATGCTGTCTCTAGCATTAGCACTGGGTCTCCTTTTTATTCCTATGTGCTTGCTGCCAAGGTCAAAAACTCTTGCTTGACTATATCTAAGACACTAATTTTGCGGGGGATGGTGAGACAGGGTGCAGTTCTGGTCCAAGTGGCCTTGGTATTCAGATTTTAACAGTCCATTTCAGTTTCTAAACCTCAAAACCTTGAAGGGTTTTGTTTTGTGTGTGTGTGCTGGGGACTGAACCTAGGGCTTCCCACATGCTAAGCATATGCTCTGCCTCTGAGCTACTCTTACAACTCCTTCAGAGTTCTTTCTGACCAGCCAAACTGGCCTTTTATTTTGTGAGAGGGTAGATTGTAACATTTTTGTCTCTAATGATTTGAATTAACTGAATAATTTCTAATTCTCCATTTAGCATGTAGCATTGCTTTTGTTGAAAAACAAATTGGAGTTTAAGTGGCTTAGGTGCTCAGGAGTGTATTTACACCACTGCTGTGGCTTGAGTTCTTAGCTGTGAGAAGGCTGTCCCTTTAGATGGTGGTGATGTTCTGTGTCCCAGGTAGCTAAAATGTCAATGCCTACAATGTGCTCAGTGATGGCAACCAGTCATCTGCAACACCTGATATAGTTCAAAGGGGCTTACCCACAGAGAAACCTCACAGGAACGTAAGTGTCTTGAGTTACCACGTTTTCCCTGAAATTCCTAATATCATAGGTTTAATTTTCTTTCTTTCTCTTTCCTTCCTCCCTCCCTCCCTCCTTCCCTCCCTCCCTCCCTTCCTTCCTTCCTTCCTTCCTTCCTTCCTTCCTTCCTTCCTTCCTTCCTTCCTTCCTTCCTTCCTTCCTTC